TTCTCCGGCTGCATACTGGCACTACTGAGTTTCCGCTCTATAGGATATGTTGCTGTTTACTGCCGATTTCATTGCACGTGCAACAGCTGCCTGGCACTCTTGGATCATTTTTGGAAGCTCATTATTGCGCTCTTCAATTTGCCGAATCTGATTCCGTAACGTACTCGTAGTTCGCCGGGAGGAACGCGGCTCGGAGCTGCTCGCACAGCTGAGCCCAGGATGTGAAACATCCAGGGGATGTTGCTTCCCGAGTGTACACCCAACTCTTAGCACGACCGCTAAGGTTGGAGAGTGCAAAAGCAGCACGCAGTTGCTCGGTCGAGATCAGAGCCGTGTCCATCGCGAGCTCTACTTCTCGGACCCAGAAGTGAAGGTTCTCGCCTTCCTTCCCTTCATACGGCTTAACCTTCAGCCGTATTGGCTTCGGGTGAGGCGGATTTGCTTCCGCCGCCGGAGCCTGCAGGTTCTCCCGCATATGCGCAGTACGGGCCCTGCTCGTACGCGTCAAATGCATTGACGCGCTCGAGCTGCTCAGCCGGTGTTGACACCACCAGGCTCTGCAGGGCCTCCATTCCGAAGATGCCTGCCATTTTCCGAACCGACTCGAACTGAGAGTCTTTCAAATGGGAGAAGTCGCTCCTATACATGGCAACGAACTTCGGAGAGGTTCAGGTAGTCTACCCGCGGTGGCGTGGATTGACTACTAGTGCTACCAAGTGTGACGGGGTCACACAGCACCTTGCGCTAGAGGAAGGTATCTTCCGAGAGTATACAAACTCTCAGTGAACGGCAGTTCACAGGTCCCCTCTTTAATTAAAGAGAGCGAAGTGACCTAAATAAGGTAGATTGTAAACTGAGTATATTTATAGGTAGGTTAAGTTTGGGTTTAATACAAACTATTGGTTACCTATAGAAATGCAATGTCATTTCATTAATGGTTGGCTTTGAACAACCTTGGTACCTCGTACCAAATATCCCGGAGTATGACGTGTCATACTCCTGAAGTGTGAAGTGTCACTAGGTACACTTAGGGCTACGTACCCCGTTACACCTTCCGTATACAGTGGTGATTTGGTGGTGCCCAGCAGGTTTTCTGCGCCGGTTGCTGTTGTTGCCTCGCCGCTCAAGCGGTTTGGAAACCACTGCTCGACATCTTCAGTTGCTAGACCCACGTAAATAGAACCCGCTGCGTTTGGGCTCATAACCTAGGAGCGCTTCCGTTCTGTGCCTGCGTCAATCAGCAGATTTATTTAGTGTCGCGCAGGGTGTCGGCAGTGTAGGAAGACTCGGAGGAACTCAATGCGTAGCTGATGGGAAAACCAAAAGTGAGATTAGGATGCATTAGTGTAAACCTAAGGGAAAGCCTGCGAAAAACCTTTACGACTATAGTGGACCACTACGGCACACTCTCAGGTGGGCGAGCGGAGGTAGCCGGTCTCGTCCCGCAGAGACACTCAAGTTCTCTCCTGTTCACCGTCTTACCCCGCAAGGTCTCGCGAGAACTCCTCCATAATCCACATCAAACTTCACTTTGCTTCTGCTTCTCTTCAGCACAAAACCCATACAAAACTCAGCACCGTTACTTGCACTTCAGGCTGTGCGACTCTCATGTCGTACTGGCAAAGCCAATTCTTTGGTTATTATCTGCAGTCGTCACCAAGTGCTTGGTCGCAGCCAACTGCCGTACGACATCCTCGTATAACTGACGGTATTACCAGCACCGATACAAACAGCCTACTATTTTCACGGGCCACCTGCAAATCTGTTCTCGCTTCCAGAGCTAAGACAAAGAATCAGTAAGGCTCAAGACAAGGGCAGACCAAGTGCGTACGACCCCCAAACTGTCCTAAACATAGAAAAGGTCTGACCTAGAAGCATGCAGCAGAGTGGGGTAGCTGCAACCTGCGGTGAATTAGTAGATGGATCGGGCACATCCACGAGCAGGAAATTGTCACTCGGTCGCCTGCATTGACCGCTACGCTACCTATATTACCCCAGAGTCGAGCAGAAAGTGTGTGCTATTCTCCTCGCCTTTCTTGAGAAACTTATAAACATGCCTGCGTTGGTGATTGATCATCCACAGTTGGGAATCTAAATCAAAGCAGCGTAGCGTACTAAGTCACGTTTTGAGGTATTAAATGTGGACGTACCACGTCCATTTGGTAGAAATACATTTTTGTTCTTTGAAGTATATAAAAATTGCCACCGCTCCTCTTGTTTAACCGCTGATTACCGTCATCTCCACTCCGTGTCACGATGGGGGGAAGTGACAAATCGCACTCTACCTGTTTACATCGTTGGATGAGTTTCGTGCATTTTTGCTTTTTGAAACCCTCAATCGTCTATCCGCACAATACAGTATCGTGTTTACAGAGTCATCTACAGTCCGACGTCAACCCATTGTTACTCTAATATATATCGTATAATTCTATTTACATGTAGAGCTCTTCAATTTCCAATGCAACGAGCGCACGCCTGTCATTCTGTTTGAGATAACTGGTGATCGAGGCCGAAGTGACCAGCATATTAGATATGCGAGAAGATGTAGTGCCGTGCATTTTGCAGGAGGAATTTCCATATCTCAGTGATTATCACTGAGATTACAGAAAATAGTAAGTAACGTAGCAATCACTGAGGTCAGTGATAGTATTATACATGTATTAATACTTATATTAGTACATACATATCGCAACCAAGGAAGCCATCAGTGAAGTTGGTTAAAAGCTAAAGCAATATACGTGTGCATGTATTGTATTCAGCTGCTAACACTTTCACTTTCACTACTTCCTGCAATGGCCCCAGTTTTGCGCCGTGTATCGAAGAAAAAGCCAGGTCGTCCAAAGACGAGGAAGACCATGTTACATTCAGTTCGTGCACCAAGTTAAAGGGCCACCTCGAGCGCAAAAGTGGTTGCGGTCCGAAGGCGGTTGCAGCTCAAGCCGCACGCAGAAGCAAAGCCAGCCGCCTGTCGAGCAAGGTGCAGCACCTAAAAAGACAACTCGACAAGGTCGCCTGGTGGGAGGTGCACGAGGTCATGCTAGACGAGGAGACCAAGGGCAGCGAGGCTATCGCTGGCAGGCAGTATGTGTGGGTGACCAATCCTGGCAGCTTCGAGATCTGCGGCATCAAAATGAAATGGAACTTGTCCGTAGCACGGCTTCTTTTTTTCGTTGGGGGCCATTGTCGGGAAGAATGGACGTTATGAAAGTGAAGGAGAGGGTCAAACCATTAAAATCCGATCGTTTCTTTCTTCATGTATTTTCAGCTTGTGTATAGCTAAAAAAAAAACCACTTCATCGCACTTCTAACTTGAGACTCCTTGTCGAATGTAATACTACGTACTGTATTACGCTTTAAGTAGGATAATCACAGTTCATTACTATTTTATTCTTGAACTGCTATTACTACTCGTCTACTGATTAATGTCATGGACTGGCAATTAACCCCATCTAAAAACAATATCTCAGTGATAATCACTGAGATATGGAAATTTTTCCATTTTGCAGAGTTCTTTCCCTACAATATCAAACTTCGAAGTCGTGAAAACGCCCATGTGTTTGGTAGCACCTGTCGTACACGTGGGTGCACCAAATCAAACAGAGCCGTTCATGCCTACCCTCGTGTCCAGACTCTATTCTTTCTACCACTTTGCTAAACAGAGCTACGTAAATAGCTTCCTGAAAAAAACTAACGTTGCGTACAATAGTTTAAGGTTAAATCTTAAGCTATTGTACGCAACGTTGATCTTAAGCTATTGTACGCAGCTTTAGTTAAAAAGCTAACGATTGTACGCAACGTTAAGCTTTTCCAGAGGCTCTCTAGAATCGATTCAAGCAACGCAAAGCCGTTGCCGAGAGTAGCCTACAGCAAATGATGCTGAGAAAACATTCTGACTCGACTGTTGTTGCGGTACATGTAGCCCATCACACAGATGGCTGGTTTCCTCCTTACCACCACGTGTTCGTCTCCACATACATGCACCGTATTCCGCCATGCCATCACGGATTTTCTGTGCACGTTGAGTCCTACCAATCCTAACACGGTTCCTCGTTGGTTTGCAAGCGCTCCTCACCGCAATTCAACGTTTTTAAGTTCCTCATTCCTCAATTCACTCTCAACGCAACAACTTGCCTTCTCCGATCCGTTTGCGTTCCGACAAAATGAAGTTCATCGCCACCGTCGCCGCTGCTGCCGCTGCCTGCGCTCTCACGGTCTCCGCTGACGTTTCCACTGGTCCCGTGTGGGGCTACCGTGCCAACGACGCCAGCATGGTGAACACCGACAAGTGGGCCGATAGCTGGGCTGCCTGCGGTGGCAAGCGTCAGTCGCCCATTGACATCGTCACGTCAGCCAAGCCTGGCAAGGGTAAGGCGAACCCGCTCAGCTTCACCGGACGCTGTCCCACGTACAACCTGACTGCGCCCGCCGAGCCTCTGGAGGTCGACGTTGTTGGAGGTAACGACATTGTGATGGACCTGATCATGTGATATGTTGTAGATTCTAACGCGTTTGGTTCTGCTAACATAGGCAACTGTGCTGTCTCGGTTAGCGATGCCTCGTTCAACTTGGCCCAATTCCACCTGCACGCTCCCTCGGAGCACACTCTGAACGGCAAGCCTCTCGACGGTGAAATCCACTTCGTGCACGCGTCTGCCGATGGCAAGGCTCTTCTGGTGGTGGGTATCTTCCTTGAGGTCGGCCCCAAGTCGGACCCGTGGCTGGGCCCTGTGCTTGACGCTCTTGAGCACGTCAACTCGACTGACGAACGCTCTGCTGCAGTTGTGGTGCAACTGTAAGTTCCAACATTCTAGAATACTACTTTTCTGGATTCTTACTAACAATTTTGATGTTGCTAAAACACAGGAAATCGTACTCAACGATGGTTCGTCAGGCGTGCAGAACCGGAGGCATCTACAACTACCCTGGCAGTCTTACGACGCCTGGCTGCGGTGAAAATGCCGACTGGTGGGTCGTACAGAACACGATCAAGATCTCGTCGGTCGACTTCGGCCGTCTTCACCAGGACCTGGTTGAGTACCACATCACGGACAACGGCAACAACGCTCGCCCGGTTCAGCCTCTAAACGGCCGTACAGTCACTCGATATAACCAGGAACCTACGCCGTACCCAGCATGCTAGATTATATCTTCTTTTAGTCGCTACTTTAATTTCAACTACATCGTCATCCGTGTTACTTACATAGAATGAAACGATTTTTTTTGTTTAGATCTCGACTGTAGTGAAACCAATTTGAGTGCGACACGTTATTTTCTACTTGTACTCTTTACTTATTAATACTTGTATTATACTGTGTCACATCAATAGATAAGCTAACCGCGGCCGAGATAGCAATATGAAACTGCGTGGAAAAAATCATGGGTGACCAGGGATTACGTCCTCTGCTACGGTATATACCGGTAATATACACTTCCTCTGCTCGGAAATGATAGCAAGATTCAAGAAAAAGCAATGTTTATTGGTCAAAACTAGGTTAACCCCTCGAACCCGAGAGCCTAGTTACCAAAAACATTTAACGTGTAAAGTCCACGATAAGAATTGCTATACTTGGTTTTTGTAAGCGTCTTTACCATTTCCAGGTAAACAAGGGGTAGGTAATGTATCCTTGAACCCCAGTAGTTCGACAAAAATAATTCAATTAAACAGGCCATGATTACAAGAGAAAGCACGTAACAAATCAAACTGACACAGCACATAGCTAATATGACAATTGCGTTACTGAGCACAAATGGTTTTTGTTTCCAGTTTCAGATTCGCTGCAGTAGGCAAAGGCCTCGGTGCTGCCGCACGCAATGGCTTTCCAAGCGAGATGGAGAGGACTAAAGAAGGCCGTATAGCACCGAAGAAGCCTACCGGATGGTTAGTCGACTTCGCGTACCTAAAACCTGGGAATCCCAAGACAGACAAGCGCGGAGAGGACTTTCTTATCAAAGAAAAGGAACTAATGCGGTTTCTCGACAAAGCTGACCTCGGTAGGACTAGTGAGCTAACTGTAATCCTGCTAGACATTCGTAACGCATGTGGGTATGTAGCGGCGCTTCAGACAAAGACAACTGGTAGGTGGGGCGGGTCTACAAACGCAACCACACGACCCGAAACCAAGGTAGTGTGCTACCTTTTTGTTCAAACGATTAATTCAATCTGACAATAGATTTTGAGCAGTGGTAATCAGCAGCAAGACACATCAGCCGATGCCGAGCTCATGTTTTCAAAAGGACGTGGCACGTTAAGATGGAGGTTTGACCAACATAATGTACATACACATTTGTGCATTATATAAACTTGTATGTGCTGTGTGTGGTACAGAAATTTCTTCAGGTGACATCGCAGAAACGCCAGTAGCTGCCAATGATTCTTATGAGCTACCGGGCCCTCCGTCGAGTGCTCTTATATGTGTATCTCCTCATGATACGTCCTGTATTGACGAAGTCATCAGCTCCGACAACGACAGTGTCAACAGCCGTAAGTTCTTATACATACAACATGAGCATGGTATTTCTCGCAGTAATGTAGGGAGTCCACAGATACAAAAGTATATTGCAGTGACCAATGCTTACATCGTGCTCAGTGCACGTCGTATTGCGGATGGATTGATCAAACTCAGTGACGTCACGTTCTTGTAGCAGCTCCATTTGAAGCTTTGCCAACTGAAAGAGGATGACTGGATTGGACTTCGCGACCACAATGAAGCGACAGCAACGCCGTCCAAAACCCAATCTGCGTCTCAGTATAACGGCCATACTGCTGTTCTAAACGACGAAGAGACCTGGTAATGATCAGAGTGGGCGTAAGAGGCGCACCCGAGCCTGTAAGGTGTGCTCTCTTTTGAAAGGCACCGATGTCGCGCGCGGCGGGACTCTTCTATCTGTTGCAGCGACGGCAAACTGTCGACGCTGTCCAAGAAGCTAAAGCCTTGGCATGTCTTTTCTTGTGCGATTAGGTTCGGCACCGACACAATGGTGCTCCCATGTCTTGCTTATAGATTTGGCATAAAGCCTGGCGTAATGGTGCCCTTCTACCGAAGACCGCTCAGAAGAGAAACATCCGTGGGCGTGTGCCGGCGAAGGAGTCACTGAACGCGGAAGTGTGTGAAGAGGGAGCAGCAAGCCCAGCGACGCACCAACGGACGATATATCACCTCAGTAAGAACGTGCGCGAGCGTCCGAGACGTAAGAATAAACAATTGTTGCGTCCTTCTAATTCTCTTGATTTCTGTATACGCTTATTTGTACTTTTTACTGGCATTTGTATACAGCTCTAGCCATCAAGCTATTTATGCGACGCTTCTGGCTATGGCGTGTGTTAGCCACTGCATCATGCTGCCTATTACTTATCCCATACAAGGTACATGATAAAATAGATTTTACATAATCAATATCGTGAATGTACACGTTTGTATGCGAGTCAGTTCTTGAAGGGTAGGTATATTTTGTGTCTTTCCAAAATAAACAATCATACGTGAAACCGTGAAAACCTCATTTCAGTATGTTTCCCCTTACTCCAGACATACACGTTAATTCGGTCGTTGGGGGGAACGAAACGCCTTTGGACTCAAGGAGGTAAATCGAATGGTAATTTCCTTGACTCTTAATCTCTTTCGCGTCTAATATGTTATGCATTTATTTAGCGGCATTCACTGACCATTGGCATCATTGTGTCAAGTCGCAATGAAAGTCACGGAAGTTCCTCCATTTTTTTACACCCCAACAGACAAACAATTCGTACCGCCTTGCGCATGTAATAGTGATCAGGAGTATATCTGTAAAACGCATATAAGTACAAGTACGATCGTACAATATATATTTTTTTCAGATAGACCAAGTTGGCACGAGTACAGAGTAAACTTTCCAAAACTATACACAATGAATAAATAGTACTTGACCAAGTATACAGCTGGGTGTGCATTCTGATCTAAATTGTCAAAACGTTACCGCGTAGTATTGGAATATATTTGACAAATAAAATTGCAGGATATCATACTTTTGGGAGAATGGCCATAGAATGGGTGCCATTAGTACCGTTAATATGCAGGAGAAGATACTCGAAAGGTAAAATTTCAGCTATTTGATTATTTAACGGATTTATAAAAAAGGAATTATTCCAAGATAATGGCATCGATCTTTTTATTGCATGCCGATGAAAAGTACTACTTGGCGTTTAGCCAAAACAATGAGAACGATACTACTGCTGCAGTGACAGTAGTAGTGATGGTGTCCATTTAGCGTTTTAGTTATAGGATTCCGGAGTTTGTTGTTTGGGCTTTTTGGCGTTATCAAGGGGTATTGGCAACTGTCTTTAGATGAAGCTTCCCAAAATATTCTCTGATTTATGACCCATCGTAAATTTTACACATCGCGTAGAGTTCCTCAAGGCTGTTCTGATGCTGCACTTTACTGTAACGACAGAGCGGTGCTTCGCATCTCTACTCTACGATCACTTGTTAGTGTGGATCGATGACTTACTATTGTACGCAAGGACTTCGGATGAGTACTTGGATGAGCTTGTACAGTCGTGCACCTCCAATTCGGCACCGGTATCAGTCAATACCTTGCCTTATTTTATGATTACGCGAATCGATTGCGCAATTACCTTTGCCCATCACCACCCTAGCAATTAACTTCAGCGGGTTTCTGCTCCTCGTGGAGGGATGACAAGCCGCATCGATCTGATTTTAAATTTTGGATCGGACGTCTTCATACAAACACACACTTTGATTTTTACCGCCAAAGATCGCCCTTCCTCCTACATGTCCCTAACTCTAGCACATAAGCAGTCTTTGTGCGAGAAGCTGAAGTCAGATTCTGCATGCTCTCACTCCAAACTTGCTCGTTGGACAACGGAGCGCTTTAAGACCCCCAAGCAGTAAAGTGCACTACTGTCCAGAGTATTCTTAAGCGGTCGGCGGACGTTGCCGCCTTGCCGGTCCCTATCGCGACCGGAGGCGCTGTTGCGCGTCCGCGATTCGCGCGTCTGACGCCAAGATTATGCAGAATATTGACGGGTTCAAGACTTGGCACGGAAACGCAACTATATAGGGCTCTACGGTACTAATGATTGCTCAGCGCGAAGGCGTACAGCTACTCGGAGGCAATGCACCTAGTCGAGGGTGGCTGTACCACTTCCAGCAGCGCATAGGGCTGTGGCTTTCGCAAGCTCCCGCCTAACACAACTGCCGTACTGCAGCCCATGGACCAGGGCATGATTAAGTGCCTGAAGAATGAGTACCAGAACAAGAAGCAAGCCCCGGAGCTGGACCTGTTCTACAAGGGTATTCCTTACACGCCGGTCGACGTTTACTCCGCCATGAAGTGGTTGTCTGAAGGCTGGAGCAACATATCTGCAAAGACTATTAGAAACTGTTGGAGCCACACAGGCATCGTCTTAAACTAAGCGTAAATTTCGTACTGAATAAACAAAACCAATATCAGTGCACTGGATTTGCGTTTGTTTTTTGCTTTACGTTGTGCACTTATGCCCTGGCACTGTTGATATGGTCCGCCCTGCCGAATTGGAGGTGCACAGCTGTAGATCTTTTCAGTATAGTGAGCGCGCTTGGGCTCAAGCTCAGTGCTAATAAGTCCTGCGTATTCAAGAACCAGGTGAAGTGGTGTGGTAATCTGATAGACTGCATTGGAGTGAGGCATGGTCCCGAAAGGATTAAGAGGTGCTTCATGCCTTTCCTTACCCATCAATCGCTAGTGAATTACAGTAGTTTATTTGTTCGACTAACTGGATGAGGACGTCAATCATTGAATATGGCCGCCTGGTACGACCACAGCAAGAATTGTTTTTGACTCTGTTATGTCCCACACGTCCAAGCGTACAAAGCGTGTGGCAAGTGGAATTCCAATCGCGCTGAGTGCAGCCGAATTGGAGGCCTTTGACAAGCTGAAGGATGCGTTAGCTGGGAGTTCAATGCTGGTATTTTCGAAGTGCCATCCTCGTTACGGATGCAAGTAGCTCTGTTTGGTCGGTGATAGTGACTCAGGTGTCCGACTGGAAGGCACAAGATCCTATTCACGAACAAGAGAGTATGAACTGTTAGTGGGGGTGGGGGAACATTCACTGGGCGCAACGCAATTGGAGAGTCATCGAGAGATGGAAACATATATGATTGTTACTCCATGTGACAAACTCTCGTACCTGTTGATGAGACCAAAGGGCTCCGCATGTACTGCGGCAAAAGAAATCTCATCCTAGTCTTCACGCCGGCGCAGGAAATCAAGAAGCATGTGCGAGGCAACCTGTTGCGTTGGTCAATGAGGCTCATAGAATACAGATTTTCTATTATACACATCGAGGGCGTGAAAAACGTCTGGGCGGACATAATATCGCGTTAGGCGGGATATCAGCGCTCGGTCAGTGTAGCCATGAAGCGAATACGGCGAAAATGTGCATGGTCAGACGATGAGGAATCGAAGGAAGCCAGTCATGTCGGAGACAGTGGTGAGGAGCGTCAGACAAGACTAATGCCTATTCGACCGTTCAGCAATGACAGCTTTGAGTGGCCGGACGTAGCAGCAATACTTGGCGGCATGAGGCAGCAAGGTCTAGGAACTGATGATCTATGGGCCAAGGACGGGTGCATCTGGATATCAAGCGAAGACGTCAGCATTATGCAGCGACTGCTAGTGGTGGCGCACTGCGGGTGACAAGGTTATCACGGTCGTGCCTCTCTGAAGGAGATCATGCAGCGACGCTTCTCTATTGCTAACATCCTTGGACGTGTGGACAATTTAGCTCGTGATTGTCTGTTGTGCCGCCATGTGAAGGGAGCAGGATCGTGCATCGCATTTGAGCGAAAATCTTTCGCAGCAACAAGAGGTGCGAAGCGCTGCATTGGGACTACTTACATCTAGGCAAGTCGTTTGACAAATGTGCTTACATACTCGTTGTGAAAGACGACGCTATCCATTACTGTGATTGGTTCTGTGCGTTGTACCGACTAGTGTGGTGACGGCACATGCCATCATAGATATATACTGAAGTGACGAGTGTTAAACAGACGATAGTACAAACAGTCCATTAGAAAGCTATTGTGAAAAGCCATTCACTTGATCAAGTTTTTAGATGTTACGGGGGTGATGGCGCGACAAAGCAGGCAAGTGACCCGGCGCGAGACGCACAGCGTTCCAAAACGTCTTGCAGGCGCCCCAACGAGATGGACGATTGTCCCTTACGCGGTAGCGAGCTACTATACCACTGCAACTTAGTTAGTGACCCTCGTACTAACCAAAAGGCATTGTATGCCTACAGACACGCGCATTGTATTCGAAGATGTTTGGAAGACACTGCGCAAAGAAGGGTGTTTTTCAAAGCTTTACGGCGTGGGCTAGAGCTCGCATCTATTCAGGTGGAGACGACCGTTTCCTTCACCGCTGTAAGTGAAGAGATCGATCTTGACGATGTCAGTCCTGTTTGTAAAAGGCTTGGTAGTCGACCCTCACAGACGAAGGTCCGTGAGCTCACGTGCCATGAACCCCTGGGCGGCCAGGCGTTGCTGCTCAACCGTACCGGTCGTCAGTAAGCTCTGAATCACGGCGTCACCGGACGCTGTCACAAGGCGGTGCAGGGCCTCCAGCTCGATCGCAGACAGGTACGAGAAGCTGGTGTGGTCCAGCGCCGCATTGAATTCCTTGGGCGCGTCGTTCATCTTGATCTTGGTCGTTAGACGAATTACAAAGTGCTACGGGCTAAGTGGAACCCTTTACTAGCATACACTACAAGTAGGAAGCTTGGGGTAAATTGAACTCTGAGATTGATTCTTAACGGTGCGGTCTCGACACTTCTAGGCCGCGCCAGCAAGTCGATATACGCTATGATATGATTGGTCATTGTGGTGACACGACGGCCGAGTCCCCGTCACACTCCCGGTGGGGGCTACTGTCCTCACCGCAGATTGATACCCAAATTTGACGTCTTAAGCGGCTCGCAAAGCTTTGAAAAAAAATCCAATCGCTGGAGTTGCTCTAAGTGCAGCCGTGTAGATCCTAAAATATCAATGTAAAGTCAGTGTTGGGAGCATCGCTGAAAACAAAACTTCAATAGCTCTAGGTGTTTATAGGCTTTTAAACCAAAATTATTTAAGGCTGATGAATTTACGTCCAGAACGGGACAAGCGTTGGTACCACTGCCCGTCACGTTCAGCTCTTTCAGTTGGGTTGACATCACCACTACGACGGGAGCAATTGTAGCTACGCTCTCACTGTCATTAAGTGGTAAATGTGCTGACTTCAACCTCACACAGACAGATGACACATTCCAGGCTAGCGTCGTTGGTGGTAAGCTCTATTGAAACCTTGTCAAAACTTTAAACGCCACGTTCTATCATGCCATCGCCTAGCTGTAAACGTAAAGTTCGTGCACGGCCCAAGCCATTGCTGCGTCCTACAAGATGGCGCAGATCCACCTCCGCGCTCCTTCAGAACACACTCTGGTCGGCAGACGGCGAGGTCCACTTCGTTCACACAAATGCAGCCGGGTCCGCACTGACGGTGGTGAGCGTCTTCCTCGACGTCGTCACCAGCGGCACATCGGTCGCGTTCCTAGTCTCGTTCTTGGATGGAATGAAAAACGTTAGTCCGACGAGATGGGAGCCCATGAGTCTGTAAGTATTCGTCCTGCAAAGATGTGTAAAAGTATTAGATCAGCACTGACAACAACTATTCTGCGTTACATGTAGTGGTTCGTTTGCCAAGGTAGTGATTACCATCGGAAACCGACTACTCGGAGGTCTCACGACGCCTGATTGCGACGAGTGGTGGGTCCTACAGAAGCCTATCTCTGAAGCCCCAAAAAACTCAAGTGGGCGACTGCCGAGGACCCGTCCCAAGTGGGGGAATTGGTGGTCCACTGTGCCGGTCCGGCCATGGTGAGGTCGCTGGTCTCGTACCCCATGGTGCTTCAGCAGACACGATAGCTTTGGTGAGGGTGCAGGCGGCGATGCGATGGCGAAGAATTTATCGGGCTGTTGTTGAAAATGAATGGGGATGCTTGTTGCCGCTGTTGTTGTTGTTGTTGTTGGTTTCTACCGATACTGATTTGAGGAACGCGTGATTCGTTGTTCATTGTCTCGGTAGGAGACATTTAAACGTAGATATCTGTGGGGTAGTATGCTTGGTCTTAATTTGCATCTTCTGCCTAAACAGAAGGCCAAGTGGGAGCCCTTAACGCTGTTAGTGACGCAGAATGTTGGTGGATTGAAACGCGTCGCACACTATTAATACGCCAGCAATATAGCAATATGACACTTGCTAAATCAACACATGGTCTACGCTTAAGTAGCTCACCACAATTGTATGTGGACAGAAGCGCAAACGGAAGAGGGGATTGTCATCCGATTATTTATTCTCGACCGATTTGGATCAGTCACAGGAAGCCGGACGCGAGCTGTAACGTTGAAGTTGATGCAAATCTTTGCAGAACATGGAATTGAAACGACGATCCCCTAAACAAAAAAATACTTCGAAGTAGATTATTCGCTTTGAATAATGTTTATTTGCCTCGACAATAGGTTTTAATAAAAATGTGCTACTCCCACCAAAACAACACATACCGGTATACACACAAAGCGAACTAACAACTCAAGATGCACCAGCAACAGTTGAACAAAGTGATGCAAACCGCTCAATATTATTGATCAAAGCAACAATCAATACGGTCTACAAACAACACGCAAAATGCCTACTGCAGACTTACGACGGTGCGTCCGTTCAGTGGTAGCACGGGGCGAGCGTTGTTGCCATTGTCCGTCACAGACAACTCCTTCAGCTGCGTCTGCAAGCGGGTGAAGTCCGCCGCCGCGATCGACATGGGCTGCTGCACGACCCACCAGTCGACGATTTCGTCGCAACCAGGAGTCGTGAGGCTGCCCGGGTAGTAGGTGCGGGCGGCGTTTGTGTTTACGACGTTAGCGTACGATCCACTGTGTCGCATCGATAAATCATATTTGTTAGCAATATGCACTGACTCGCACAGGGGCCAACCATACTGGGGCTGACAGCTTACACGTTCATCGTGGTTGCAGCGGCCGGCGTGACAGCTTCCATCCCGTCGAGCACCGAGCCCATCCACGGGTCCGTCGTGCCTGCGTTCGCTACTTGCAGAAAGACACCCACGACCATAAGGGCAGAGCCGTCTGCGTTGCTGTGGACGAAGTGGACCTCTCCGTCCAGCGGCTTGCCATCGAGGGTGTGCTCCGAGGGGGCGTGGATGTGGAACTGCGTAATGCTATAGGAGGCACCGTTCGCCGATGCCGCGCAGGACCCTGTTTTTGAGGATAAAAGAATAACATTGATATTGTGAAGGCATTGGTTTTGAGTACCATACAGTTTCATACGTGCACAATGAGTTACCTCCAACGACACTTGCCATGAACGTATCAGTCGCCTGCGTGAGATTAAAGTTGGCACACTCGCCTCTGAATTTCAGTGAGCGTGTTGCCACGTTTCCTCCCGTCGTGGTGGTGATGTCAATGGGTGACTGACGAGAACCACCGCACGTGGGGAAGTGGTCGGCCCACTGCGCCGGTCCGGCCATCGTGGGGTCGTTGGTCTTGTACCCCCACGGTGCACCCGTGGTTTGCGCGAATACGGTGGTTTCGGTGGTAGCGCAGGCGGCGATAACAGCTGATGCGGCGTGGAAGAACTTCATGGTAGTGGTTGTTGTTCGTGTACTGTAGCTGTCGATGTTGGTTTTGGAGAGTAAATTGAGGAATGAGTCGTCTGATGGCCAAGGTTTTGTAGGACGGACCACAACGGTGACAGTACTACGAGGCCACGTGCCTCGTGCTCGATACGGAATCTTTGCTGAAGCTGTACCGATGCCTCAAGGCTGTGCAATGATCAACGACGTTGCTGTTTTTTTTCTTAAATTAATCGAGGCTGTGGTTTGATCATCAACGAAGAGCAAGTGGATACTTAGCACATGTGCTTGACGTCGGACTCTTCTCCGCGAGCGGAATGCCGATCTTCGGGTGTCGATTAGACGCCATCTGATATCTATATCGGCTTTCCAGAGTGATTAGTATAGTATAGGGAGTGTTGCAGTGTTGATTAGAGGATATACATTGCAGGAATTTTAGCATAATATTTCAACAAGCAATTAACTCAAACCTATTTCATACCAACGCTTCTTTTACAGCTTAGGGACTTACCAAAAATGCTTTTAAAGCCGAATCTCATATGCGTTTAGCTAACAAACTATCGGATTGGATTTTTTATTCAGATCTATAGGAACGTAAAACAATAAAATGAAATTGTAGAAGTTTTGATAAAGCTAATGAGCTAAATGTGAAGTTTGTAAGAAAATGCAAACTATTAGCGACTACATAATTAAAAAAATCGTTTATAAAATTCTGCAATATTTGCTGTCAGATGTGCATACTTAAACAGTAGTAGTGGATTTTTAAACCTACCGGGGCTGTACTGTTTTTCTAATCCAAATTCTGAATTAACTCGCCGATTTTCAGAATCCACTACACTACTGTAGAACTGGATTATGGAAATTCCTCGTTGATTCGGTGTGGCAGGAAAGTTTCCCAGTAGATTTGAATTCATTGAAAGACTTCCGAAAATCGCCCAAGCACGTGGACCAAACCTCTCCATCCGGTGGACCATGTGCGTACTAAACTGGTACCAAACGTTGGTCAGACCCAAATTACGTCTCACCAACCCCTGCGCTTGGTTCGGACCAAGCAATCTGATTAGAAGGGCTAACCTTAATTTCAGTGCTAAGTACGAAAACCACCGTACAAATTCTAATCTAGGTCAAAATTGACGACGTGTCATTCTGTGCGGTACCATAATTCTCTGTCGTGCGTGTATCAATAAGATTTGGTACCGTTCACAGTCAGTTAGTTGACTTTGCGATTTATGCCTCAACAGCAAGATGCAAGAGTAATTAAACATGTTCTTCAAATAATTACGGCATGTTTTAGAACAAATAGCGCAAGCCGCTGACAAATTTGGTGGTGGCGTGTGATGGTGAATTTCGCAACTCACCCTTCGACATGGGCCCCATCAGGGGGATCCGTGCGTATGATCAACGACGCTAAAGACATACCTTACCACCTCGACAAGATCCAGGATCCGCCATTACGAAGATTTTTTCCCCACAAAATAGAATCTTGGCAGACATTAGTAAACCGACGTCGGTGTTCTTGCAAATCAAATAAAATATTTATATGCATCTTCCACAAATAGAAATGTACCCAAACGGCAAAATCGTTAACATCACGACTTTACATGTAGTGATATCCATATCAGTACACCTGGATGCCAAAGCTATTTGCTTCTAGTCACCGTGTCAACAATTTGTATCTATCCAAAAGGTGTCCCACCATACCGAAATCGATTAACGCTGCGTGGAAAGCCGCGTAAAACGTCGTTAGCTAACATGTAAAGCCCGACCGGAGGACGGGTGCGGTGCGACGCCTATTACAACATTATGGGTTTTAATACTGCTGCATGCGTCTTACTTCCATGGGGTGGTCGACGGTTTAGCTGCCTCATTCACCATCAGATGCCACCAACAAAATTGCCAGCAAATTGCCAGCGGTTTTGCGTTATTTGCTTTATAAAAAATGCCGTAGTTTTGTTTTTAAGGAAATGCTGTACTCGTGAATCTTGTAGTTGAGGCATTGTGCTTGAAAAAAGGTCAGTGTTTTACTGACTGACAGTGCACGGGACCAACTCTCATGTATACACTAATAACAGAGAATTATTGTACCGCACCGAACTTGCTATTTAAGCAAGATATCTCAGTTGTCCAAAAACAATCTAAATCCGATGGTCCAAAATCATATTTTAGTGGAACATTGCGACTCTAAAGAATTTCTGTAAATTATTTTGGATTTAATCCAGAGTATTGTCGTTCCAATCGCAGCACTTAAAGCTCTGCTTAACCATTCAAATCTTCTGGTCAAATTTTCTACCACGACAGTTTAATATTCTTTTATTCAAATGGCGTTTAAGCGAAACCCGAAGATCGGCATTCCGCTCGCGGAGAAGAGTCCGACGTCAAGCACATGTGCTAAGTATCCACTTGCTCTTCGCTGATCAAACCACAGCCTCGATTAATTTAAGAAAAAAACAGCAACGTCGTTGATCATTGCACAGCCTTGAGGCATTCGTACAGCTTCAGCAAAGATTCCGTATCGAACACGAGGCACGTGGCCTCGTAGTACTGTCACCGTTGTGGTCCGTCCTACAAAACCTTGGCCATCAGACGACTCATTCCTCAATTTACTCTCCAAAACCAACATCGACAACTACAGTACACGAACAACAACCACTACCATGAAGTTCTTCCACGCCGCATCAGCTGTTATCGCCGCCTGCGCTACCACCGAAATCACCGTATTCGCGCAAACCACGGGTGCACCGTAAGGATACAAGACCAACGACCCCACGATGGCCGGACCGGCGCAGTGGGCCGACCACTTCCCCACGTGCGGTGGTTCTCGTCAGTCACCCATTGACATCACCACCACGACGGGAGGAAACGTGGCAACACGCTCACTGAAATTCAGTGGCGAGTGTGCCAACTTTAATCTCACGCAGGCGACTGATACGTTCATGGCAAGTGTCGTTGGAGGTAACTCATTGTGCACGTATGAAACTGTATGGTACTCCAAACCAATGCCTCCACAATATCAATGTTATTCTTTTATCCTCAAAAACAGGGTCCTGCGCGGCATCGGCGAACGGTGCCTCCTATAGCATGGCGCAGTTCCACATCCACGCCCCCTCGGAGCACACCCTCGATGGCAAGCCGCTGGACGGAGAGGTCCACTTCGTCCACAGCAACGCAGACGGCTCTGCCCTTATGGTCGTGGGTGTCTTTCTGCAAGTAGCGAACGCAGGCACGACGGACCCGTGGATGGGCTCGGTGCTCGACGGGATGGAAGCTGTCACGCCGGCCGCTGCAACCACGATGAACCTGTAAGTTGTCAGCCCCAGTATGGTTGGCCCCTGTGCGAGTCAGTGCATATTGCTAACAAATATGATTTATCGATGCGACACAGTGGATCGTACGCTAACGTCGTAAACACAAACGCCGCCCGCACCTACTACCCGGGCAGCCTCACGACTCCTGGTTGCGACGAAATCGTCGACTGGTGGGTCGTGCAGCAGCCCATGTCGATCGCGGCGGCGGACTTCACCCGCTTGCAGACGCAGCTGAAGGAGTTGTCTGTGACGGACAATGGCAACAACGCTCGCCCCGTGCTACCACTGAACGGACGCACCGTCGTAAGTCTGCAGTAGGCATTTTGCGTGTTGTTTGTAGACCGTATAGATTGTTGCTTTGATCAATAATATTGAGCGGTTTGCATCACTTTGTTCAACTGTTGCTGGTGCATCTTGAGTTGTTAGTTCGCTTTGTGTGTAAATCGGTATGTGTTGTTTTGGTGGGAGTAGCACATTTTTATTAAAACCTATTGTCGAGGCAAATAAACATTATTCAAAGCGAATAATCTACTTCGAAGTATTTTTTTGTTTAGGGGATCGTCGTTTCAATTCCATGTTCTGCAAAGATTTGCATCAACTTCAACGTTACAGCTCGCGTCCGGCTTCCTGTGACTGATCCAAATCGGTCGAGAATAAATAATCGGATGACAATCCCCTCTTCCGTTTGCGCTTCTGCCCACATACATCTGTGCTGAGCTACTTAAGCGTAGACCATGTGTTGATTTAGCAAGTGTCATATTGCTATATTGCTGGCGTATTAATAGTGTGCGACGCGTTTCAATCCACCAACATTCTGCGTCACTAACAGCGTTAAGAGCTTCCACTTGGCCTCCTGTTTAGGCAGAAGATGCAAATCAAGACCAAGCATACTACCCCAAAAGATATCTACGTTTAAATGTCTCCAACCGAGACAATGAACAACGAATCACGCGTTCTCAAATTAGTATTGGTAGCTAACAACAACAACAACAGCGGCAACATGCACCCCCATTCATTTTCAACAACACATTGGTGAAATTCTTCGCCATCGCATCCGCTATCATCGCCGTATGCACCCTCGCCAAAGCCATCGTGTCTGCTCAAGTCTCGTGTGGCGTACCATGGGGGTACAAGACCAGCGACCCAACCATGGCCGGATCGGCGCAGTGGACCGCCAATACCCCCACTTGGGACGGGTACTCGGCAGTCGCCCATTGATATCACCACTAGAACGGGAGCAAATGTAGCTTCGCGCTCGCTGTCATTTGATGATGAATGTGCTCAAACACGCGGACGATACATTCAAGGCTAGCGTATTTGGTGGTAAGCTCTATTGAAACCTGTGTAAAGTATTAGATCCGCACTGACAGTAACTATGCTGCGTTATATATCGTGGTTCGTACTCCAATGTAGTGAACGCCAACGCAAAACGACTCTACAACTACCCCGGAAGCCTCACGACGCCTGGTTATCTCTGTAGTTCCCAAAGACTTGCATGCCCACTGAAACAGCTAAGAGTGACTGACAATGGTAACAACGCTCGTCATGTACTGCCGCTGAACGACCACAAGGTCATCAGCCTCAAATAGTTTTACTAAATAGAGAAATACATGGCTTTCATCGAAATAATTTATTTAGGTTAAAACGCATTCATACGATCACATAAAATGAAACCTTAAAAGAATTTCATTTAGCAATATCAATATATATTGGAGCTCAAATACGATAAGTATATTTACGCATAGTTGTTCTTTTTGTGCTTCTTCTATTTGAATCTCTCAATTGTACGGTCGTTGAGCGCCTGCACCGGGCGAGAATTCTCGTTTTTATAATTAATTTCGATCGCTCCTTGGTTCTCTCGAACGCGCGTAAGGTCCTTAGCCGAAATTATCATCGGTTTCTCTACCACCCACCAGTCGACAATCTCGTCACAACCGGGAGTTGTCAGACTGCCGGGGTAGTTGTAGAGAGTACCACGGCCAACGCGATTCTTGATCAGCGCCGAGTAGGACGTCCTGAAAAAAAATCAGTTTTCAGACGACAACAAAGGATCCAGACGAGGCAAACTTACAAGTCTAGCATGGCCGGCTTGGTAGACGTCGTCGATCCCATCAATGACGGCTTCCAACCACGGATCCGTGTTACCCGAAGGGTCAATCTCCATGAAAACCCCGACAACTAGTAGGGCGGAGCCGTCGGCATTGCTGTGAACGAAGTGGACCTCGCCGTCAAGAGGCTCTCCATTCAGAGTGTGTTCTGAAGGAGCGTGCACGTGGAACTGCAGCAGGTCGTACTGAGCCTTGTTCGCCTTCACCTGACAGGAGCCTTTACACAGTTTCAGTTAGAAACACTGCGGGAATACCGGCATCATCAACGCGTAGTCACCATCGATGACAGCTCCCTTGTAGCCTTCTCCACTATGTGTGAGGCTGAAAGAAGGACAGGAACCTCTGAAGCGAAGAGTGCTCCTCACTTTGGATCTCTGCTCGACGTCAGTTGGCACTATTTCGATTGAGGACTGATTGGTGCCGTTGCACGCAGGGTAGTACTCACCCCACTGTGCCGGGCTGACCCTCTGCGTATCTTTAGGATTGTAATCCCAAGGAGCACCATCAGTGCCATCAGCAACAACAGACGTTATACATCTCGACTTCAAGACGCTTGACACCATTTGCCACCAATAATTTACCAATACATTTTTTTAATGCTACAAGTGCATACGTGCATTTTTGTGCTCAAATTAAAAATGAAATTGTTTTCTTAGGCCGGTACCATTACCGGCACTGTACTTACGGATTCAGGGAAATGCTGGCTGGAAGGTCGACAATGCGGCATCAAAACAGCACAAGGCATCTTACCCATTCTGGGACTGACGCTTCCGCCAGCGCCTCAGGCTCGAGCGGCGCCTCGCAGATCACCATGGGTGCTGCCTGCGCAACCATCAAGCATTGTCACTTTACGAAATTAAACGCACTGATAGGGGCTACTTTTAAATGGGGTTATCACGGCTGGAAAGTAAATATATTTGTTTAGCCAATTAAGTCAATCCTTCATCCGTCAACTACGAGGGTGTGCTTCATGTCAAACCTTCTGACATTGTTTTCTACCAATCATAGCTAGCATTCGCTGGTGGTTTGCAACCTTCCACTTTTTCAAGGGACACGAAGATTTAAATTGATTGGCCGGATAAACATAATTTCCAAATGTGCTAACCCCTTATCCCACATAAAATATTAGCAAGCCGATTGGACCGATTTTACGTCAAAGGTGAGAGGTGCAGTGGGTCAATGTAACCTCTCCTGCGTGGGGTTCAGATCACCCAGAAGCACGTTGGAAACTAGTAGCGGCAAACAAGCATTCAAAGCAATCCGAAGCATTATGTTTTTATCCATTCAACCCCTTAGTACCCAGGCTAATTTACGAGGGTATATATTTTTTATAATATCATTTTTTCTTATAAAAGAATTTGTATGTATCGTCGTTTAAGTCCGCGTTTTGAACAGCGGGTTGGTAGAACACATTGGGATAGACCGGTGGGTATAGCGAAGGCATCTGCAACATAAAGTCGTATTAGGTAGATAAAATGAACCAACGAAATTGCTAATGCTCCCTTTACCAACATAAACGCTGTACTGTCTACCGAAAAGGCCATATTTTACAGCATTGCCTGTTGCAGGTACCTACGAATTGTTTTATAATGGCCAATGATGTAAAAGCCAAATAGCGGTTTCAATTGATTGCATGTTGTAAAGTCGACGTAGATTGAACATAAACCTACCCGTACGCAGTTATGCCTGCCTCTCTGGCGTCGTCGTCACCTTCACTGTTATTGGCGTTGCCGTCGTCCTCGTTCGCACTACCGCCGTCCTCCTCCTGCAAATTCCTCCTACGCTTCTTACCTGGACGCGATGCAGGTGGCCGCTCGCGCGTCTTGTACGCCAGCAGAAGTGCTGGGGGACTCTCGTTCCCATAGTTCAAATCGATGTGCCAGATGCAAAAGCAGGTACCCCTTCCATCTCTTCCAACATTTCATAAGTATTTCCTGTAACACCAGTCACGTTAGATTGTTAGCTAGACGTCTAGCTCGTGTTGCACGCACCGTCGATTTCCATTAGAGTATTCTGGACAATAATACGTAGTGAACTTCCTGGGACGGACCTTATAGAGAGCGCACACCTTGCACGACCGTTGGCACCGCTTCACGCCCTTCTCGCCTTCAGCAGTGTCCGGATTCTCTTCGAGACGGTGATCTCCGTCAACAACAAGGTCACGTTCCGCTCCTGAAGTCGCTCCTTCCCTTGCTGGCGATGGTGCCGTCCTCTCACGCGCATTTGCTGCTCCTGTTTGACACAAAGTAGCAATATTAGTAACAGCATAAGCTACGTGATCGTTCTGCATACGTAGACTAGATAGTCAACACAAGCTCTTACCTCGTGACGCTAAAGGTCTCGGCGGAATCGTTCGCCTGCAACGGCTCCATCAGCTCTTCGAAAAATGCAAAGTGGCTCGGCGGCCTCTTACCGCTCACGTTTCAGTGGTTGCGATACACGATGAAGGCGGTTACGCGTACCATGTCTAATAGCCCCAGAACAAGGTCCGGTAGTATTTGCGCGACTTGTACGACAGCGGCATACTGTAGCGCTGCATCCGGAGCCAGTCGTGAACATCAACCCCGCCCATCCATCGATGGTAGTCACGGACCAGCTGTGGCGCTGGCAGGGGCTTCATGTCGCCTTCAATACGCCTGACTGAAATACATGCATAATAACATTTTAGTAAAAGTCGATGAATAGACCACCAATAGCTCAATACTCACTGACTGTAGCCGGCCTTCGGCTGCCGCCGCTGGAAAGCTAGTGGATTACGATCCCTCCGCATAGCGGCTGTAAGCAAAATGGAAATGCTTATTCTGTGCCAGTTTGATAGTGCCCTGGGGAGGCTGCAACATCCGTCGCTTGTTCACCGTTTTGTCCTTCTTCGCGACGACAACTTGCTTAGCGTAACCCACTCGGTCAGTCTGAATTGTGCCCGTGATGTAAATGCGGCGGTGCAGCAGCTCTAGTGCCAATGTGACGGACGTGTAGAACCTGTCTGTCACTACGAGACGCCACGGGCATGTTGGAGACGGTGGTATCAGTGCGTTCATATTCCGAAGAACCGCCGCTTCGCCGGTATTGCTGTCTGGTGGTACATGTGTGCGCATATTAGTATTGGCTCCGCAGTAATTTTCGAGCCTACAAGACAATACCGAATTATATCATACGTTAGGTTATGTTGGATCAACAGTAAGTGGAAGTAAGTTATGTTGCCTGGGGACA